ATACCGGACTTGGACTCAGACTCAGACGAGCTGGAATCTGATTCTGACTCCATAAACTCAGTGGAATTAGATTTCGGCTCACTACCTGACGCGGTGCTGCTTGATAAAAAGCCCTCCTTGTATTGCCAGACGAGGGAGGGTGCGATGGATGCATCGAGAATGCCTGAATATGGGCCCACAGCCGATTCATCCCCGATCAGGGAAACTGAGAAGTTATCCCCCAAGCACTCTGGTACGATCTGAGGATCTGAGAGGAGACAAGCCAGTGCTACCCCCATCTCAATTTCTGTGTTGTCGGAATCCTCTTCCTTGCACTACTCAGCCTCTATCTGCTCTTCAGCAACTTCATCCCCGGACAATTGCAAGTCAAAGAAAATCTCAAATCTGGGCAAGCGCTGCCTCTCTGCATTTAGCCATGGCTCCGAAAAGTCGCAGAACGGGAAATCTCCCCTCTCCCGGACAAAGCGTCCGTTTAGGGTCCCCTGGATAGGTCAGTGCACCAACTCATAATGCTTCCCGGCTTGTTTAGCTCTGGCTCTTTCAACTATCTCTTTTCCCTTCCTCGCCCAATCCTCTTTGGTAGGTAGATAACCTAGGCCAAAGGTATATGGGTTATGAGGCACTTCGGCCGATGCTTTAATGCCCTTCCGGCCACTTCGCCCTAATCCCATCCCTAGCATGTGCTGAAGCTTGTTCATAAGGTAGACAGACTGTGCACTGACGTATAGCCCCTCATCAATAGCTAGTATATTTTGTACAACCCGGGCCTCAGCTAGGGCGAATCCTGACAAAAACACATCCTCCGCGCCATGCTCAATCTCTAAAACTGGTGTAGAAACCTCTGGCGGCGGATGTATCGAAGAATTTCCAAAAACGATTGCCACCCCCTTCCCGTGGGGGTAGTTCAGCATTTGATATAAGGTGGAAGAGACGGCTTTCACCTGGTGCAGCCACGGCCGCCCAAGGAGTAGATTGAAGGTTGCGGGAACATCCAAGACATGAAACTCAATGTCCTGTTGCCCCGGACCAACCTGAGTCCGAATTTGTACAGTCCCCATCAACTCTTGGCTAGTATTATCATAGGCCCGTATCACCTAGGCTGTAGGCACAAAATTCGCAGGCTTCAACCCGATAGCATATGCTGTCCTCGATAGACATATGTTGATAGCAGATCCTATGTCAACAAGGACCATCGGTATCCATTTCTCTCTACACTCAATAGAGATATAGAGCCGTTTGTTATGATCTAAGCCCTCAGGCGGCAGTTCCTTATCAGTGAAGGTTAAGGTCAGAGAAGCTCCTCCCGGGAAAACCAGCCCTACCAACTGCTCAGGTGTGGTATCAATTGAAAGCTTGGCCCTATCCATGGCAGAAAGGACAGCCTGTCTGTGAACCCTTGAGGCCATAAGCAGTCCCCAGATGGAGATATTTGCTTGGATTTTCTTAAGCTACTTCAATACAGCCTCCTCCTCCAGCAGTTTTTCCTTCTGCCTCTCTTATTCTTTGTCCTTCCCGGACGCCTCTAGCTGGTCCAAGTGTGGGGGCTTGAAATACCGCCCACTCCTAGTCATATGGTCAACCTCCTCAACATACCAGGTGTCATCTAGTTGGTTCTGCCCCCAGTCAGCAGCAGTGATTTTCGCTCTTAAGATCTGGCGACATTATTTGTATGAAGAGTCATGTGAGATTTACATTGATATAAGAGTTTGAAGTATATTTTCACACAGAAGGAACTAAATTTGAGGCAAAGAAGATGGCTTGAGTTGCTAAAGGATTACAATGTGAATATTTTGTATCATCCGGGGAAGGCAAATGTGATGGCAGATGCCTTGAGTAGAAAGGTTACAGTTGGAGATGTAGTTGCTTTGTCTATTGAGAGTTGTTTGGTAGAAGACATGAGACATTTGAGGCTTGAGGTTGTTACGCCTGGTGATAGGGCTTATTGTAGTCAATTGATAGTTCAGCCAACCTTGAGAGAACAGATTCGTTTAGCACAGGAGATTGACCCCCAGTGTGAACGTATTAAAGGAGAGATGGCAGAGGGTAAGCATGTAGACTTTGTGGTTAGTGATGATGGGCTGCCTAGATTCCGTAGCCGAATTTGTGTTCCTGCTGATGGTGATTTGAGAAAGGAGATTATGACGGAGGCACATAGTTCTAGTTACAGCATTCATCTTAGAAGCACTGAGATGTATCAGGATCTTCATGAACATTTTTGGTGGAATGGTATGAAGGGAGATATTGCAGAATTTGTGGCTCAGTATTTGGTGTGTCAACAGGTTAAAGTAGAACATCAAAAACCTGTGGCGAAGCTACAACCCTTACCTATACCAGAGTGGAAGTGGGATCATGTTACCATGGACTTCGTGTGCGGATTACCTTGTGCTAGTAGTAATCACAATGCAGTTTGGGTAGTTGTTGATAGATTAACCAAGTCAGCACATTTTATTGCACTACGGATGAACTATTCTCTAGCTCGATTTGTCTCTAGCTCGATTTGCACAACTGTATCTAAAGGATATTGTTAGATTGCATGGTGCACCTGTGTCAATAGTGTCAAATCGGGATCCTCATTTTGTGTCTAAGTTTTGGGGTGCATTACAGTCAGCTATAGGTACTCGATTAAATTTTAGTTCAATTTATCTCGCTCAGACAAATGGTCAATCAGAGAGGACTATTCAGACCCTTGAGGATATGTTGAGGGCTTTTGTTTTGGAGTGGAGAGGTAATTGGGATGATAATTTTCCGCTCATGGAGTTTGTGTATAATAATAGTTATCATTCTAGTTTAGGAGTAGCTTCTTATGAGGCTTTGTATGGGAGGAAGTGTAGGCCTCCTTTGTGTTGGTATGAGCTTGGTGAGAGGCAAGTGTTGGGACCTAATTTGGTGGAGGATGTTACATAGAAAATTATCACCATCAGAGAGAGATTATTGACTACTCAGAGTAGACAAAAAAGTTATGTTGATCATCGGATGAGAGATTTAGAGTTTCATGTGGGGGATCTAGTATTCTTCAAAGTATCACCATGGAAAGGAGTCATCAGGTTTGGAAAGAAAGAAAAGTTGAGTCCAAGATACATTGGTCCATTTGAGGTATTGGAGAAGGTTGGTGAGGTTGTGTACGATGTTGCTTTACTGATGTAGTGTCATATGCATAACATGTGTTAGACAGTGTATCCTATAAATAGATGAGTACCACATCATTTGTAACTAACTTGAATATATTGAATTTGAATTGAATTGAGAATTTCTCTCTTTAATATCTCTCTCTACGTTCCTCTCTCTCTCTCTCTCTCTCTCTCTCTCGTTCTTGATTGACCCATCATATTTTGGTATCAAAGCATCAACATTTAGATCCTAACCTACTGATTATCACAGACCATCACCTCAAAATTAGCCTGATCTTCGAAACCTCAATCTGAGTCAGATTCATGAATTGATCTCTGGAATCATCATTATAGATCGAATTGAAGCCCTAATTTGATTGGCAATTTTGAAACTGGTTCATTTTTGCTTCGAATGGAATTGCAATTGGAGTTAGCTCTCGGAAACAAATGTCGCAGAACCTGAGTTCATTTAGAAACTGAGATCGATATCCAATCCAGATTTCAATCCATCATCACAATTCACCATTGTGATTCGAGTTGTGGGTTCGACTCTGAATTTGGCTTCGCTGATTCATTGTCGATCAAGCGCTGGAACTTTCGATTCAAGTTTGCTGATTGAATCTTCACCTAGGTTCTTCGCTGGGAGTTGTCTCAAGAACCTTGGTGGGCAGATCGATTTCGATTTAACATCCATACAGTCTATTTCGTGATTTGATCTAGTGCCATAGTGCGACTTCTTGGATTCAAGGCTTCAAGGCTCATTATGACTTGCGACTGGGATGCTTTTGAGTTTGGGACCTCGATTCTTAATCTGTAATTCTATACTCCGGTTCTACACAAGTATTTTCAATCTTTGTTTCAATTCTTGGACTGTTCAAATTCCGTATACAGAATGGGTTACTGTTTGAATCAATTCTTGATATTATAGTCTTGTTGATTCTTGAATATTTGAGGCTTCACATTGCTGTGTGTTGATAGTTACACTGAGCTATCCTAATCTATGAATTGGGTCTGGTATTGAGCTATCTGAAATCTGTATATCTGAACTATTTTTATTGGGTTGTTGTTATGGCTAATCGGGGTCAAGGTCGTAGGGGTGGTCGTGGTAGGGCTTATGTCCCAGATTTGGGTGATCATGATGGGGGTAATCGGATTCCATATCCAAGAGATGAGATGGCCAAGATGAGATGGCTGAGATGAGATGGCAAATTGCCACGTTAACCGAGACGGTGCAACGTCTCCTATCTCCTACCGAGGGTAGTGATGGTTCCGACGAAACCAAAGGTGGTACTCATCATTCTTTTGATAATATCTTTTAGGCCCCAGGACGGTGTCGAACGGATGTGTGTAGGATGGAACACAAATAGGAGAACAATATCAAGATTGAACTTTCCAAATTTCATGGAAACCTCTATCCCAATGAGTTCATCGATTGACTCAACACCATTGAGCGGATCTTTGACTATGGAGAGGTCTCCATTGAAAAAAAAGTTAAGCTTGTGACTATTCGGTTGAAGGGGAGAGCTTTTGCTTGGTGGGAACAACTTCAACTCAACCGTCGCCGATGTGGAAAGGAGAAAATCCATGATTGGGAGAAAATGAAAAAGAAGTTAAAGGGCCATTTCCTACCATTCAAGTACCTCCAAATTGTTTATCAACGCCTTCATGTTCTCAAGCAAGATGGTAGTGTGAATGGATACACAGAAACCTTTTATCACCTCATTGCACGGGTTGACTTAAAGTAAAAATGAGGAGCAACGGGTGGCCCGTTATGTGAGCGGCTTGAAATCTTCCATCCAAGATGTTCTTGCCTTTCACACATTATATAATGTTTCCGAAGCTTATAATCGGGCCTTAGCCGTAGAGAAGCAACAAAGCCGCCGTGCTTTCCCAATGGGACAATACTTCCAAGGAGGGTTTCTAGGTGGTTTTAGGCCGGGTCCTTCCACTCCTAGCTTTGCCAAAGCTACTCCTCCTTCCAAGTTTGTGGATAAGGGTGCTTCCTTCTCACAAGCTCCTCGTCCTAATGGTGTTTTCAGAGACCAAAATCCACCACAAGGTGGAACCTTCAAATGCTTTAGGTGTGGTGAACCGGGGCATAGATCTTTCGATTGCCGCAAGAACATGGGTAATAACCAAAACAAGGCACTTCTCATTGAAGAAGTTGAGGAGCATGGTGACTTTGAAGATGCTCCAATCTTTGATCCTTCAGGTAATGTGGCAATTGGTGGAGATAGTGATGAAGAAGAGGGTCTTGCTCTTATGTTGAAGAAGACTCTTCTCACACCAAAACTAGAGAGCCAAGAAGATTGGTTGCGTACCAATATCTTGTATTCCACTTGTAACATTGGTGGCCGTTTTTGTAACATGATCATTGATAGTGGAAGTTATAAGAACGTAGTTTCTCAAGAAGTGGTGGACAAACTCAATCTTCTGGTGGAGGAACATCCCCATCCTTATTCTCTATCTTGGTTCAAGAAAGGCAATGAGATCAAGGTTACCAAACGGTGCTTAGTTTCATTTTCTATCCAACAAAAATACTTTGATGAGGCATGGTGTGATATAGTGCCTATGGATGCTTGTCACATTCTACTTGGGCGACCTTGGCAATATGACCGGCAATCTTTGCATGATGGCAAACGAAACATCTACACCGTTGTCAAGAATGATATCCGGTTCACATTGCTTCCAATGAAGGAAAAGGTTACTTCCAAGGATGTTTCCAAGTCATCTCCTAGTGCCACTACGGTGCTTGCTTCCAAGGAGTTTGTGGAAGAAAGACGAGATTTTGGGATTGTATTAGTGTTGGTTCCATTTGTACACATGGGTGCTTCTAAAGAAAATGTTGAGGTGGCCACTCTTTTGGAAGAGTATTCCGATGTCTTTCCCCAAGAGCTTCCTCCTGATTTGCCTTCTATGCATGACATTCAACATCGTACTGATTTGGTCCTCGGGTCGGCGTTTCCAAACAAACTAGCCTATCGTATGTCTCCAAAGGAGAAAGAGGAGTTGCAACGGCAAGTAGAAGAGCTTTTGGCTAAAGGGCATATTCGGCCTAGCCTTAGCCCTTGTGATGTTTCGGTGCTTTTGACACCTAAGAAGGATGGCTCTTGGCGTATGTGTGTAGATAGCCGTGCAATCAACAAGATAACAATCAAGAACCGCTTTCCAATTCCAAGATTGGATGATATGCTGGATTGCCTTGGCAAATCAAAGGGGTTTTCTAAGATTGATCTTAGAAGCGGATATCATCAAATTCGCATCAAGCTCGATGATGAGTGGAAAACGGCCTTTAAAACGCCTCATGGCCCATTTGAGTGGCTTGTGATGCCATTTGGGCTTACTAATGCTCTCAGTACTTTTATGAGAGTGATTACACAAATGTTGCAACCACTTTTGGGAGTGTGTGTCATGGTCTACTTTGATGATATCTTGATCTATAGTCAAAGTTTGGAAGAGCATTTGTGCCACCTTCGGCAAGTCTTTGAGCTTTTGAGGCGAGACAAGTTCTATGGCAACACTAAGAAGTGCACCTTTACCATGGACCAAGTCATCTTCTTGGGATATGTTGTGTCTTCTCGTGGGGTGCTTATGGATGTAGAGAAGGTCAAAGCAATTGTGGAATGGCCCACTCCTTCTAGTATCCAAGAAGTACAGAGTTTTCATGGTTTGGCTATTTTCTATAGGTGATTTATCCGCAACTTTAGTAGCATCACTGCCACTTTGACCAACATTCTCAAGCTTCAAGCTTTTGAGTGGTTTGCCGTGGACCAAGTCATCTTCTTGGGATATGTTGTGTCTTCTCGTGGGGTGCTTATGGATGTAGAGAAGGTCAAAGCAATTGTGGAATGGCCCACTCCTTCTAGTATCCAAGAAGTATGGAGTTTTCATGGTTTGGCTACTTTCTATAGGCCATTTATCCATAACGTTAGTAGCATCACTACCCCTTTGACCAACATTCTCAAGCTTCAAGCTTTTGAGTGGAGCAAGAAAGCCGCCGATAGCTTCCATCTTTTAAAGAAGTTTCTTACCGAGGCTCCAATTTTGGCATTATCGGATTTTGACAAGACCTTTGAACTTGATTGTGATGTATCGGGGTTGGGTATTGGAGGCGTCCTTAACCAAGAAGGGCAGCCCATTACTTTCTTTAGTGAAAAGTTAAATGGGGCTAAGCTTAAGTATTCCACTTATGACTTGGAATTTTATGTCATTATCCAAGCCATCAAGCATTGGAGCTACTATCTTGCATACAAGGAGTTTGAGCGCAACACCGATCATGAAGCTCTCAAGTATATCAATAGTCAATCCCATCTTAAAAAGCGCCATGCCAAATGGGTGGCCTACTTGCAACAATTCACATTCTCTTTGCAACACAAATCAGGGGTTCTTAATAAGGTGGCCGATGGGTTGAGTAGGCGCACGGCTCTCTTGGTTGAACTGAAAAATGAAATTGTGGGTTTTGATGAATTTCACACATTCTATGCAAGTGATCCTTACTTTTCCAAGATCTTTGATTCTTTGCAACGGGGGGATAGGATGGCTTATCCAAGTTACATGATAAGGGATGGTTTCCTTTTCCATGGCCTTAAGTTGTGTGTTCCTATTTGCTCCTTAAGGGCACATTTGTTGGTTGAGCATCATAAGATGGGGCATTTTGGTAAGGACAAGACCCTTGGGTTGCTTCAAGATGCTTATTATTGGCCGGGCATGGCCAAGGATGTGCAAAGTCATGTGAAGCGTTGTCAAATTTGTCAAAGGAGCAAGGGGACTGCCATTAATAGGGGGGTTATATCTACCTTTACCGATGCCAGATGCTCCTTGGCAGTGCATTAGTATGGACTTTGTGTTAGGCCTCCCTCCTACTCAACGGCGAAGTGATTCTATCATGGTAGTGGTGGACCATTTCTCTAAGATTGCACATTCCATACCTTGCAAAAAGACCATGGATGCTACAAACTTTGCTAATCTCTTCTTTAACATGGTTGGGCCAAGCTAAATTAATGTAGGCCACAATCTTGGGCTGAGCAGAACCTACATGGGCTTTGTTGTTGTGCCGAGCTAGGCCGAGCTTGGGTCACAGGCACGGACCGAGCCGATGTAGGACCGGATTAGGACTGGACCTACGCCTTTATGGTTGGCTATGCTAGGCGGGGTTTAGGTCGCAGGAGCGGACCAGGTTGCCTGAAGATAGGCCACGTTCTAGAGCTAAGCTAGTAACCAAAGGGTCGTAAGGAGGATTAACCGAGCTAGGAGTAGAATCCCCTAGTGGGATTGACCAAACCTCGGCTACGGCATACCACGTGGCCCAATGGATTTTGGCGAGGAATTTGCCTAAGGTACGCGTCAATATCGTTTGGCAATGTGGTTAATGTTATTTGGCAGTATTGACGCGCATACGTGTAACAAAGAGAGAAGGTAGTACCACCACACATCCAAGGGAGGACAATAAAGATAGTGTGTTGACAATCTTGGGCTGCAAGGCTAGCCTAGATAAGGCGCACATCGACCACCAGAGAAGGGTAAGAAAACTTTAGCCACATTCTGTGTGTGTGTGTCTGTGTCTGTGTTTCTCTCTCCATTCCTTCTTCTTCAAGTGAACTAATTTGACCATCGGAAGGGTTTTTCGACAAACCACCCACCAGATAGCTCACCATTGTTTTGTTTGTAGTAAGCAAGACGCCGTTCGGAACAAGACAAGCTTGGTAGCAAGGTGTATGGGAGAGAAGGTGTACGGGCGACAACAAATATTTCTCCCCCCGTCCGATAGCCAAGATATGCATGATCTTTATTTTCCAGTGGGCAATTGGAGAATTAAATAGAAGTCAAATTAGTTGATGATTTATAAGAGTTTTTCATAGATCATGGCCTAGTTGAAAATTAACTTTTGACTCAGAAATTGGTTGTACATATATAATCTTCAATCATGTTATTGCCTCGGGTTGCTAAGTTCAGCTGCAAAAAATAATAATAATAATAATAATAATAATAATAATTGACTTTGAAAACTTTACTTTTAGATTCTAGTAATTAGGCACCTTAAAGTACAAAATGATTTCTTATTAATTAATTAACATGATTGTGAATTTTTAAAAATCATCAGCTGCTAATTTCATTTTATTTATTTATTTAATTTTTGCAGCTGAATATGTTGTATCAATTGTGAATAGACCGCAACTGTTATAAATAGGCACTGGTTATTAACGAGGGGAAAACAGGCGCTCACCTCTCACAACTAGCATTATCTCCAAATACATCAATAATTCCTATCAAATGACATGGTCAAAATCAACATAAAAACCACGGACCACAAAACTACTGCAATAATGTAGTTGCTAGTAATAGTAGACCCTTTGTTGCACATCACAACAAGCTTGTGCCTGCCATCTGTCCCTTGAGTTCTAAAGCATCAATCAAGCACTCCTTTCTTATGCACCAATCCTCGCGTTTCTTCAAAAGTGCTTGTTTCTTCTTTTCAAGATCTTTAATAGCTTCATCCAGTTTGATAATGGTTAGTTGCATAGAATCTACCTTCTCCCTGAGATAATGAGTTTCTTTATCTTCAATAATGGCGAGCTCTTCAGAATCTACCGTTTCTTTATCTTCTTCAATAATGGCGAGTTCTTTAGAATCTACAATTTCTTCGTCTTCTTCAATAATGGTGAGTTCTTCAGAATCTACGCTTTCTTCATCTTCTTCAATGATGGCAATATCTTTAGAATCTATGCCCTCGTGTTGCTTTGTGATCTGGGCAATGTATTCGGCAAGGTTAAGGTCTACAAGAACATCATGACCAACTTGGAAACCAACATGAGCACGCACCAGTTTTGTCAAATGATCAGTGACAAAAAGAATTTCGAAGTTTGCATATTGAGCAACAGCAAAGGAGTGAAACCAAGTCAAAAGTAGACTTGTAGTTATGTCCATGACCTTAGTGTTGCACATGTTGTGTATGGCTTCACATACTGTCATTACGAATAACATCGTTGCCTTTGTACCAAGTCTTGATCCAATACTGAAATCTGTGTACTTGGAAAACAAGGCTTTTAGGATAGAGATCTGGTTCTCCAAAATCATGTAGTGTCCATCCTTAATAACCTTTGATGTTGTATCCCATTTTTCCCAAGGCATTGCGACTTCAACTCTAGAAACATACTTCTTCACAATCCACGCAGAAACCTGGTCTAAATGTGCATAGTTGTAGCCCTTCTCAAAACCCAAGTTTGTGTTCGGGTTCAAGATTTTTGAAAGGATGCCACTTTCTCCTCGGACATCCCTTCTATAGGCTTCGAAAAGACCTTGTACTTCTTTGTTCTCATCTTCTGTAAATGAATCTAAAAAATCTTTCAGTGTCAATACAAGTGACTCCTAAAAATAACAGAAAACACAAGATCAAGTTATTGACTTTTTGAATGAGTTAAGCAATAGTAGAAGCACAAGTTCAAAGAAAAGAAGCATGGGAACATAATTTTAAAAAATAATAATAAAAAAGAAAAGAAAAAAAAGAAGAGCTTGAAAAACATAGGCATTTTCACCAGAAGGCTTAAGTAGAGGTAAGATATTTGTAGATATATATAGAATCAATTTTTACCTCAACTTTTTCATGCTTTGACCACTCTTCTTCTAAAATTTGTATGATCTAATTATCAAGACAAGAAAGTTAGAACAACTAAATGGAAAGAAGCAAACAATGAAAAATGGAATTAAATATTAAAATAGAACTACTTTTTTAAGTTGTCCATAATACTTTTTTCCAAATGTTCTCGTATTCATCAAATGAAAAAGGCAGCAAGTGTCAAAAACATTTTTCTAGAGTTTTTAATACTTTGAACATTCACAAGTCCCATAGAAACTACATATAAGGAGTCACTTTTTGATTGGATCTTGACTCCAAACACTTTACATACTCAAAGGCGACATGTGTCCCAAACTGAGTGTCATGGACTAATGCAATATGTTCATGCAATTTTACATGAAATTGGAGCAAATTGTCCATGCTAAGCACATATTCATGAAGTTTAAGGAGCAATTTGTCCTTCTGCTGTCTCTTCATTCCTGCAAACACCACTGGTTGTTAACAAAGAAGTCAGATACAAAATTATCCTTCAAAGTTGATAAGAAATACAGCCTCTCAAACTCAACCTGTAAAGTTTTATCTCCAATCCATAGATTATTCCAGAGTAATATTTTGGCCATTTCCTACCTTGATTACCAACTGCCTTTGAAATACTTTCTAACTTAAGTAGACCATTCATTGCAATTCCTTTCCACACCTTAGAAATTTTATTTAAAATTTCAATTTCCACAAGCCAACTATTATTAACACTCAACCCCAACTTGCTGCAAATAACCTTCTTCCATAAGCTATGGTTCTCAACACCTTTTGAACAACAAAGCTGCATTTTTCATTTCAAAAGCATGCATCACATTTTCTCTAAACATCTTCAATCTTCTGCATTGGAGCAATCAAACCTAGTCACATAACACATTTCGTCTAGTGAAATTGTCCAAACAGTGTACTACTCACACTTTATGTTACTTACAACATAGATTGTTCTAGTACGAGGAATGGGAACATGGTATGTCACATGCTTTAAAATGTGATACGATAGGAATAAACTTCTTAATTGGACATCCAATATATTATGGTGTACTTTTTTTCAAATTAATCGTTCAATAGTAAAGTTCTATGAGTATTATGACCATTTGTTTCACATTTTTGAATCCAAACCTTCACTCTATCTAGATTTTAGTTTATTATTTTAACTTTTTTCTTATAAAGATAACTTTTAATGAAAAAATAATGGGTTAATTACACTTAGGAGTCCTACACTTTCACTTTAATCTCACTTTGATCCTTCATTTTTTAATTATGACAATCAACCCTCTACACTTATTTATTTTTATTTTTTTTTTTGATAACTCGGTATTTGACTCATTAGACCGGCTAATCCAGGAGACCAATCCCACTGGCCAATTGCAGGGGTCCTAATTAAAGCCAAGGCTACGCCATGTATAGACTGGTCCCAAGAAATTATTTGCACCTAAGAGATTTCAAACCTGAGACCTTAAGCCAATGCTATACACATTAAGTCAAGTTGCAAGATTACAATTCCGTTCATCAACCACTAATAAGGCTAACAAAACTGCACGAGTGTCAAGTGTAATTAATCCAAAAATAATGGGATTGCTAATAAATTTGTCATTTTGAAACCGTCTACCATATTTCAGAACAATACAAACGAAAATTGCTAGTGGGGTACTGTTTTCTTGCAACGCTGTTCACACTAGCAGCAACTCACTTTATCTAATTATGTAACCTAGAATTGGACAATTGGTAAAGGTAAGGGAATGGACATGATTATGGTATTTGAGGGTAGGCGGTAATCCTGAAATACAATGGACATGTAGCTTGAAATTGACAAACAACGGAAGAAAGGGGTATAGAAGAACTCGGTGCAGATATTGCAACCTCGATGAATAGCTTCAGTGGGGAAGACCAAAGCAAGAGGGTGGTGGTGAATTTTAGACCACCTCAAAATAGTGGACTTTGGCAAACAGGCACATCTAACGTCCATGTACCATTCGCAACTGCAACTGAAAGATTGGTAGAGAGGGAGAGAAAAGAGAGAGACTGAAATGAAGGATTTGTATATTCAATGTATGTTATTGTATATCTATGTCTACAAGAGAATGAGCTCTCTCTCTTTATAGAGAGGAGAAGGAGACAATGGAGTACGAAGACATAAGACAATACATTACAATAATATCAAAGCTACTGCTAAAGCTGAAAGTGAAAGTGTGTGGTAGTGGGTGTTTGCCCCCTTTACAGCTACTAATGCATTGTGATGTATATTTACAGCTACAAATGCACTGTGATGTATATTATATGTTAACAGCCCCCCGCAAACTCAAGGAGGGTAGGCATCGACCAAGTTGAGTTTGGAAACAAGATCACGGAAGCGCCCAGGAGGATGAGCCTTGGTGAAAATATCAGCAGGTTGATCGGTAAAAGCAATAGGGAGAAGATGAACAGTACCACGTGTAACATGCTGTCGAATGAAATGACAATCAATCTCAATATGCTTGGTGCGATTATGAAAAACATCATTGTGAGCAATCTGAATGGCACTCTGATTGTCACAATAAAGAGAGGTAGCGCCAGAAGAAGAAACACCCATATCAGTGAGGAGCCAGCGAAGCCAGAGAAGTTCCTAAGTAGTATCAGCAAGAGCTCGGTATTCTCTCATGACTGTCCGTCATATTGGTACTGTTTCCACATCTTCTTTAACTTTATCTCAAGTTTATCATATCCCTGCTCTCACTTTAAACCTTATCTCTATTGGTCGATTATGTGAACTTGGTCTAACTGTCACCTTTTCTGCTACTCATTGTTTGGTGCAGGATACTCAGACGGGGCAGACTATTGGGATCGGCCGTAAGCACGGACGTCTCTATGAGCTCATTCACCTTCATGTTCCTGACTCTCCTCAGATCGCTGCTCCTGCATCTGCTTCCTCATTATCTCCTTTTCATCTTTGGCATTGTCGCTTAGGGCATATTTCTATTAATCGCTTAAAGTCTTTGGTTTCTAGTGGACAATTGGGTCATGTAATTCCAGATACTTTCGATTGTATACCCAGTCAACTTGCCAAACAACCTGCTTTATCATTCAATAAAAGTACTTCCGTTTCCTGTGCACCTTTTGATCTTATACATTCGGATATTTGGGACCTTTCCCCTACTACTACTATGGGGGGATCTCGTTATTTTGTTGTTTTTATTGATGATTTTTCACGGTTTACTTGGATTTTTCTCATGAAAACTCAATCTGAACTCAAAACCCTTTATTATCGATTTGCCCAAATGATCCACACCCAATTTTCCAAAACCATCAAAAATTTTCGCTCCGACAATGCTATGGAATATCGGGATTCAGATTTCCTTTCTTTTCTTCAGAGTCATGGTACACTGCCTCATCGTTCCTGTGCTGGCACGTCCCAGCAAAATGGAAAAGAAAATTGCACCGATGCTAGTGAACGACTAATAGAATTGGAATCATTTATGTTTGAAAATTTCCTCGCCAAACAAATCCTTAGAAGAAGCTATGATGAGTGCTTTTGGTTGACAAATTTTTTTCTCTATGTTTGATTGGAAAATTTGATAAGGAATTTAAAAAAAAGAAAGAGAAAAAAAATATATAAAACTATGTAAAATGTAAATATATTTTATTTATATTTCACCTTCGTTTTTCCTTTATCTTTTTAATTCTTTCCTAAATCTCTTAACCAAACACGAAGTAATTAAAAAGTTCTGCTATGCTATGGATGGCATTGTTATTCATTGCTACCAATTTCTAAGTCTGAAACTAGAGTAAAGTCAAAAAATAATAAATTTATTGTTTTTCCAAATATCAAATAGTGAAAAGTTGATAATTATTTGGTGGAAAGCTGGGTTGGGCATATTCTCGTTTGCCTAAGGAATTCACAAATTAAGGGTTGGACTGGAAATCTTAGTCCGGTTTCTATTATTGATAAGAAGGTAAAGGGTACAAAGCCCTAGTTTTCCCAAGGTATAACATCTTTTTCGGCTAAGGTTAGGTGGACATCGTCAGGGATGCTATAATCCCTTCGGAATTCGGCCAAGACGGGTCGACCACACCGGGTAACTCAACTTCCTATCCACCTTCGTGATTATATTGTTGGGTCTGCTGCCTTTTCTACTTATGAACCTACCTCCTATCGTGAGGCTTGTACTAATCCTCTTTGGCAGCAAGCTATGACTGATGAACTTCAAGCTTTGGACAAAACTCATACTTGGGATCTTGTTGACCTTCCTCCTGGCAAAACTGCGATTGGCTGCAAATGGGTTTACAAAATCAAGACTCATTCTGATGGCTCGATTGAACGCTACAAAGCTCGTCTTGTTGCCAAGGGTTTCAACCAGGAATATGGGATTGATTATGAGGAAACCTTCGCTCCTGTTGCTCGGCTTACCTCTGTTCGCAGTTTACTGGCTGTTGCTGCTGCTCGCCACTGGGAGCTCTTTCAAATGGATGTCAAAAATGCCTTCCTCAATGGTAACCTTCTTGAGGAGGTCTACATGCAACCTCCACCTGGGTCTACTTTTCCCCCTCATAAGGTTTGCAAACTACAGCGTGCCCTCTATAGCCTCAAGCAAGCACCCCGCGCTTGGTTTGCTAAGTTCAGTTCTACCATTCATGACTTCGGGTTCACCTCTAGCTCCTATGACTCTGCTCTTTTTATACAGACTACTCCTCATGGTACCACTCTTCTCCTTCTGTATGTGGATGATATGATTATTACTGGTAATGATGCAGC